TATATATATATATATATATATATATATATATATATACCAATATATATATATGTCGTTGTAGAACAATATCGTGAAGTTTGGTGAGAAATTCATGATTTGTGTTCGATTTTTAGTCCATCTTAAATAACAAGATGTAAGTTAAAACTGTAAAATTTAATGTTGAAAAAATAGCTATTGTAATCAGGAAAGAGTGGATAGACACATGATTTTCTTTTTGTTGAGCACCTGCAAGCAAATATTTAAATATTTTATGTGAGGAGTGATTTAAGGTAAATTTTGAAAATATGAGAAGCTATTTAAATTAGAGAATATGTACTTCCTATGTTTTTTCCTTTTCTCTAGATTTGACAAGAGGTTCACGGGTTGTAGAAATGGACAATATGTTACCAAAAAAGCCTGATCTTACTCTTCTCAAACATAAAAGTGAGGAGAAAGAAATTACTGAAGTATCACACGTTTCACACATTATTTGATTGCAATAAAAAAGTTACGATTGAAGCGACAAAATAATATTTATATATGTATTTTCAAATTTTTGTAATTTTTTATTTTGTTTATTTTGTATTTTTTAAAATTTACTTAAAAGTTTTTATTTTTTTCCAAGTGGGGAGCTCGTTTTGTTTTTTTTTTTGTTTTTATATATATACACTATATAAACTAACTACAATGATATATATAGTTTTTTTTTTTTTACTTTTCTATATCTATAATAATGAAAAAAAAAATTATCCATGCATTCTATGATACAAAGAAAAAGAATTTAAAAAGAATTTTAGGCCTGGCGATTTCCTTTACGTTGTAAGATAATTTTTTTTTTAATTTACAATTCTTTAAAATTGTTTTATCTTACCTCTAAAACAACAATTAAATTGAAAAATTAAATTTCATTATAAAGACAAAAGAATTAAAATGAATTTTCAATTGAATTTTTTTTTTATCTATATCTAATGAAAAAAATAATAATAATTGCAGGTGGGAGTCTCCGTGCACGGAGACAACATGTCTCCGTGCACGGAGTCTTTGGACCCATGCACAGAGTCATCTTATTATTTTTTTTTTCCTTCCTTTTTTTTTTAAATAAAAGAAAAGCTAATACCTTTTTATACTATATAACACTAACTACAATTATATTTTTTACAACTTCAAGCAAACTTTTTACTAGAAAAGAAATATACTAAAAACTTTGAGTTAATATTTAATCTAAAGTAATATTTAGATAAATTTAATTTAAAGAATTCACTATTACTAAAAATATTACTGTAAAATTAAATATTGTATATATCCAACTACGACGATATAGTTTTCTTTTTCTTTTTACTTTTCTATATCTATAATAATGTAAAAATATTTCTTTTTACTTTTCTATATCTATAATAATGTATATATACATACACATGCATTCTATGCACGGAGAAGGCCATATCTTCT